AATCCACCCTAATAGGCATTAGCGTTGGCTTAGTGTCAATACCAGGGCAGACACTCTAAAGCTGGAAGCTAAGAGTAGCGTTCAACCAACGCTAGTATTAGCGTCGACTTCACCAAACGCTAAACTGACACTAATATATGGTTCTTTGTTCAATGCTATTGCAAGTATTAGTGTCGACCGGAACAACACTATGATATGACATGCAGAACAACGCCCACGACAATGTTTTACTCATCACTCAATAGCATTGGTCATAGGCAACGCTAACATATCAGTCATTAGTATGCATCGCAGTTTAATTTATTATTTAGAATGTTATGTCATCAGTAAGTATCGCAATTGACCGATGCTACGTTTAATTTATTCTTTAGCAGTGGTACTCTAAATGCAATTTAGATTATTGGTAGTCACATTATACAACCATGGAAGGATTTGATGTGATTAAGCATCTACATGTATTTATACTCCTTTGATTCTCTGAACAACTCTTTATTTCATATATTCATTCCCTACAGTACCACTGAACAAACAGATCAAATGAGCATTAATGCATAAAAAAATAAAATAATGAAGTCTTTAAATGGGATACAACTAGATGAAAAGATTATGGCATAGCATCAAAAATGCATAGCTCTATATTTTATACAAGAGTTGATAAAAATCAACCTCTTTAGGATTGGATATCCATATCTTCAATTGCCAAATGAAAATCAAACTACAAGCATAGTCTTAAGATTAGTTAGAACTATTCCTACTAGAGGATTTGTATCTTTTGTCATGCAGCAGGTCACCCAAATGGTCAAACATTTCTTTGAACCAAATTCATAAAATCTAGGTCAAGAAATTTTGGCTAAAAACAATTGGAAAAAGTGGGCAATTTATCTGACAAATTATCAATAGGCAATGTAAAAACAAAATAAGCCCCAAGACATAATTATCAATGATCATCTAAATAGTAAGTTTAGTAAATTGCAACTTAAAACACCTATAACAAGAAGTAACCAAGTGACATGGATAAATATATGAAATCATAAACTTTAAATTCCGCAATATAAAACAGAAAAGTCTTTAAATCAATTTTTTAGACTTAGTCGATCATATTTCTGCTCATCTCCAATATTCACAATCCCACCGCGAAGTAGAGAAGTTCCAAGAAAAAGATTCGAAAGTACAGAACCTGACAGGGAATACTTCACAACAACAATTTTGTTGGTGGTAAGAGCAAATATTGCAATAATAAGCTAAGTAACATTCTCACATGTTACATTTAGAAGTCCTCCAACCATAACATTACACATTATATATAAACTTTCAATTAGTTACAAAATTACACCATGCTTAGTTAAATTCTAAATCAAATAATAATTAATTAGTACTAATGAAGAACTTTATATACCTGTAGGACCAGTGAAGATGGCGATGGCAATTTGTCTGCAACATTCACCAAAACATAGAAATTTAAACAATAATTAGCAATTAATTAGTACTAATCAAACAATTAAAGGTGCAATGAAGTTGATTAGATTCCTTACTCTGAGAAAGCTCACTCGTTCAGCATGTGGAGTGAGGCCAAGTAAGCTCAATATGAAAACCCAGGTCTGTTTACAAATAATTATAAAATAAAATTAGAGTTAATTATAAATTATAATCATAATTAATTTATTAATCTATACTAATATATAAAGGCAACACATAGATTTGGTGTAGTTTTTTCCCTTCCAAATATACCCTTTTTAGTTTTTATTTTAAATCATAATTTATTTTTTTAACAAGTGGTGGTTATACGCGATTTATCATCTTTCATATCATTATCTTTTACTAATTTAGAAATTTTCACCCCAATAACCATGATTCCCCCCTAATTTAGAAATTTTCACCCCAATAACCATGATTCCCCCCTAATTTAGAAATTTTCACCCCAATAACCATGATTCCCCCCTAATTTAGAAAATTTCACCCCAGTAACCATCTTTCAAATAACGATTGTTACAACATAAACTAAGCTATTACAACAATCAAAGTAATATCATCAGTTCCAAACATCATTGACCTAACTGCGTTGTCATCTCTAATTCGCACCCACTCCCATCGTATATTTCCGTCTTCAACAGAGAAGTACGAGACAAGTCTTTCAATACTCCTAATACTTTCACCATTTGGAATGTCTCCTTCTAATCACCTATTCAAATTTCTTCGTAGTTGCTCTAAACTCTGGATGTTCCAAAACAACATCCTTATGAGAGGTTTCGTTCTTGAAAAAATTACATGTCCATATCTTCTAAGATACATGACTCACTCTCCTAAATTTGGATGAAACAATGTGTTGTTCGAATGAAACAAGTCTAACTATTTATGCACAAAAATTTTGTACAAAATAGTATTATATTATAATTATATTATTTATATTAGAATTAAAAAATATAACGAATCAAAGGGAGCTCTAAAGGGGATGGCGCCCCCCTTTTAACTCTTTAAGGGAGGAGCTAAAGGGGATGGCGCCCCCCTTTATAAATTATAAGGTGCCTCCAAAGGGGATGGCGCCCCCCTATAATTTATAAGGGAGGAGCCAAGGCCAATGGCGCCCCCTTGTAATTTAAAAAAGAAAAACTCAAAGTTGGTTAGATTGGTAAATATGATGAAAAGTTGGGTATAATGGAAATTAGGGGGGAATCATGGTTATTGGGGTGAAAATTTCACTAATTTATAAATAATTTAAAATAAAAATTTATACTAATATATAAAGGCAAAACATAGATTTGGTGTATCTTTTTTCTCTTCAAAATATACTCTTTTTAGTTTTTATTTTAAATCAACTTCTTTTTTTAAGAAATGGCGGCTATGTGATGGTTTATCATCTTTCATAACATTATTTTTTACTATTTTATAAAAAAAATTAAAATAAAAATAAAAATAATTAATAATACAGTTTATATTTTACGTCTGTGATTATTAAAAAAAGCAGACAGACGGGCACGTGAGTGCCCTTCTAGACGCTAGTTAATATAATAGCAGCAAATAATATAAGCAATTGACCATGCAATACAAATTATACTACACTTTTACAATAACAATGTTCATCAACTATTATACTACACTTTACAATAACAATATTCATCAACTTTCATTTCAGTCAACAAAAGCTTTAATAATCATAAACTCTTTATGAAAGCTTTATTGAAGTCATTTTTCCTATCGGATTCAAGTCTAATATTAAATGCATAATTATAATTATAAATTGCGATCTGCTACTTTAATTGCACCATCAATATAAAATATTTAGATCTTCTATCAACAATATCAAAATCAGCTAAACATTCACCGATGAATCAATATTTGAGTCTTTTGGTTTTTTTGATTTTGATTCTTAGAAACCAGCTAAACAACTGATAAAAAGTGATCTGAGTGACAATAACAATATCAATGAAAACCTTTCACATGAATGCTCTATTACACAAACCAGTGTACAATTTGAAAAACCATAGCACATAAAATTGTATAGTAATGATTTTGATTTTGTGCTCACCCAAAGAGATGGAAAAAGATACGCATCCATAAATTGGAAATAGAAAAGGAAAGATAGACATAAATTGTAAGAGAATTTAATGCTATCCAATTTTGCTATTGATTAGATTACTTAATAAGATAGCATACGGATATCTAGTTCACACAATAGTAGCATTAAAAGTTTGGTAGGTTGTTCTAAAGTGTAGTTATACCTAAAGTACACTTAAAAATTTAGTATTTTAGAGTAATTGAAAACGTGTGCAAGTACACACAAAAATAAAGCTGGTTACATTATTTATGAAATGAAGTAGAGCACTAACAGTTAAAAATTGTAGTATATGAAATGAATAGAGATAGAGCACTAACAGTTTCTCTTGTACAGCTTCTACTCCCACCATCTCGATGAAGACAGAGAGCAAGTTGGCGTTGGGCCCAAACATTCCCACCTTAAGAAGCTTTATATAATAAATTTAAAGTTTGCTCAGTGTTTGGAGGTTCAACTGCATAGCATAAGTTTACCTTTGTCAGAAATGAAATATCATTTAAATTTTCTATGTCATTCTAAGGATACACACTAAAACTGATCCAAACACAAAAGTAACAACTATTCTAAATATTGTTTCAGAATAGCACACGTAAGAATTTATGTGGAAGCTTGTTGCAATAGGAATTTACGATGAATAACGAAAAGGAGAAAACCGTTTCTTCATCTTCTTCTTCTTCCTCCTTTACCTTATCCAAAGGTATCAATGGTCTCGAGAAGGTTCTTCTTCGTGAGTCTCGTGGTTTATTTGAGTGTTTCTGGAAACTGGTAACAAGATAATTGCCATGTTCAATTTGAGTGTTTCAGCTGCACCTTTAGCCATGCACACACAATGTCCCATCACTTCATATGCAGCTTTTCTTCTACTTCTATACTGCGTGAATTTGTAGGCAGATAGACCTGACATAACTCCAATCTATAATATTAATATCCAATTTCTCTTTCAATTTTCCTGCAGAAAGTAAATGGTATATATACACCACTTTCTAACAGGATTGTTTTCATATCTAGCCTAGGGCTTTATGCTATTTAGCATTTTTCTTAGCTCTTTCGTATCTAGATAGGAGGTAAGGCGGGTGTTACGGCATCAAAACTGGGTGCCAGCAACAGTTCAAGCAAAAGGCTGGTGTTACGGCATCAGAACTGGGTGCCAACAACAGTTCAAGCCAAAGGCAGGTGTTACGGCATCAAAACTGGGTGCCAACAACAGTTCAAGCCAAAGGTTGGTGTTACGGCATCAGAACTGGGTGGGTGCCAACAACAGCTCAAGCCAAAGGCAGATGTTACGGCATCAGAACTGGGTGCCAACAACAGCTCAAGCCAAAGGCGGGTGTTACGGCATCACCCAGTTCAAGCCAAAGGCGGGTGTTACGGCATCACCCAGTTCAAGCCAAAGGCAGGTGTTACGGCATCAGAACTTGCTTAGCTCCTTCATACCTGACAGTATTTTAAATTATCCCCCAGAAGCAGCATAATGCAAATGAGAGCTTCCAGCCCCTACATCAAATTACATTAATGAATTAAGTTGAGGGGTGAAAAGAACATGAGGTATTTAGCATATAAAACAAAGGATGTACCGATTAAATCCATTGATGTTCCGAAATGAAATGTAACAGAAGACACGTTTGCATCAAGATCAAGTAGCAGTTGCATACAATCAAAGTAACCATTTAAAGAAGCCATATGAAGGGAAGTGATACCATCATCAGTTGTCTTATTTACAAACTTTGACAGGGCACTGCACTTGAACAAAGTAAATAAATTGCTAGAATAAAACCTAGACGAATAAAACTTCATAGGGCGCCACTGTCAGCATCTGAGCGAGCACGTATAGCTTCATAAGGCACACTCAGAACAAAATCGGACACAACAAGTCTAATACATTGTACATGGTCTTCGTGAGTCTCCCGCATAGGTAATCGTAACCGTGACCGTAATCGATATTGTAATCATCTTTTTTTCTCGATTATTTTCTCTTGATTTGTTTTTGTTTCATGCAATTCACATCTTGAATCATTTTCACCGATTTAGATCTCAACTTTCTTTACACCGATTATTGGAAGAAGAAGAAGAGTGAAAACTAACCGATTATAGAAAAAGGACGATGAACTTTGAATTAGAGGTGACAATTGGATATATTAAGACAAAATTCATCCAATCCGTCTATTAAAAAATACATTCAATCCATTCACCATATAAAAAATAAGTTAATGGATTGGATTAAATATATTTATTTATATTTATATGCATGGATAAATTCGATCCATCAAACATATTTTAAGAATCCAATTGATTATCTTTATTTTTTTAAATAATTAAAAATAAATTAAAAAAAAAAAAGAATTGATTTTTTTAAAATAAAAAAATTGGAATTTTTCCAAAAAAAAATCAAATTTTTTTCGGAAAAAAAAAACTGTTTTTTTTTCTAAAATAAAAAACTGATTTGTTTTTTAAAAAAATTGATTTTTTTTTCGAAAAAAAATCAACTTTTAAAAAAACCCAATTTTTTCCCGAAACAAAATTTGACATTTTTCAAAAATTAAAATATCAATTTTTTTTCTTGAAAATACAAAAAATTCAATTTTTTTCATGAATATATTAAAAAATAATTTTTTTAAATACAAAAAATGAATTTTTCGAAAATAAAAAAAATACATTTATTTTTTTGAAATAAAAAAAAGTTTGATGGATGGATATCCATCCATTAAAAATATATTAATTGATGGATTGGATTGGATAATTTAAAAAAAAAAATTAGTGGATTGTTAATGGACTAATGAATTGTTTTAATCCATCCATTAACAATCTAATCCATATCCATCCATTTAGTCACCCCTACTTCGAAAGGTGAGAAGCGCAACTGGAGGACAGACGATAAATTCGGGCAAATGGCGAGAAGCGCGGCTGGAGAACGAACAATGAACTTAGGTCAAATGGCGAGAAGCGCATCAGGAGGAAGATGAATTTAGGGAGAACGAACAGTGCGAAATTCTTTGAACACTTTCTTTTTTCGTTTCGTTTTTTTAATTTTTATGTTATTTATTTATAATTCATTATAATTTTAATTTTATTTGATTTGATTTATTAATTTAACTTTTAGTTAATTTTATTAATTTATAGTTTTGTTTTAATTTAGTCTAGATTTTAATTTATAGTTTATTTTAATTTTTTAGGCTACCTTTCTTGATGCAACACCGACACAATTAGCGTCAAAGTCAGAGCCGGCGCTAATTTTTTAGGTTAAAATGTATTTTTTTTGTAGTGTTGATGATCTCTGATGCATTCTTCTAACTTATCATATTTTGATTGATATTGTATGGAATTTAATTTTGATTTTGTTTTTCCATACTTCACGTGTTTCTCTGAAATTCTCCTTACTCAATTTATATAAATGAATTTCGAGCCTATGAATTTGTTTTAACTTTAATATAACCTTGTAATTTTTCATATATGGATCTTATATTGAAGAGGCTTGCTAGGAACATACGTCGCAGACTGGTATGTACCATTGTTAATCCTTCGATTGATGCACCATTGTTATTATTTCGATTGTTCTCTTCAATAATTCATTTTAACCTTGATGTAATATTGTAATTTTTCATGTATGGATCTTGTATTGGAGAGGCTTGTCAGAGACCTACGTCGCAGACTGGTATACACTATTGAAAAGGCCAGGCTTAGTCTAATTTTTAATATGATTTTTAAAAGACAAATCTTATATATTTGTTGTTTTTGTTGTTGTTGTGCTTGTTATTGTTGCATTTTGTTGTTGTTGTTATGCTTGTTGTTGTTGTTATTTGTTGTTAGGCTTGTTGTCTATTTTTGTGCTTGTTGCTGTTGTGCTTGTTGTTGATGTTATTGTTGTTCTGCTTGTTGTTGTTATTGCTTGTTGTTATTGTCAGAACTTGTTGTTGTTGTTAATCCAGACGAAAATTTATACTATTTTTTTAACAAGTAATAAATGAAAATATTATATACTATTCTGAAATGTCAATTATAAAACTGTTGTTCCCTAAAATCCACTTCGACCTTTATTGGAGAGCCTTGCAAGGGACCTACGTCGCAGACTATTATGCACCAATTTTATTTCTTCGTGTGTTCACTTAAATAATTCGTTTTAACTTTTATGTAACCTTGTAATTTTTCATATATGGATCTTGTATTGGAGAGGCTTGCTAGGGACCTACATCACAGACTGGTATGCACCGTTGTTAATACTTTGATTGATGCACCATTGTTATTACTTTGATTGTTCTCTTAAATAATTTGTCCTAACCTTGATGTAATATTGTAATTTTTCATGTATGGATCTTGTATTGGAGAGGTTTGTTAGAGACCTACGTCGCAGACTGGTATGCACTATTGAAAAGGTCAAACTTAGTCTAATCTTTAATATGATTTTTAATAAACAAATCTTATATATTTGTTGTTGTTATTATTTATTGTTGTTGTACTTGTTATTGTTGCATTTAGTTGTTGTTGTTGTTGTTGTTGTTGTGCTCGTTGTTGTTGTTATTAGTTGTTGTGCTTGTTGTTTATTTTTGTGCTTGTTGCTGTTGTTCTTGTTGTTGATGTTAATGGTGTTCTATTTGTTGTTGATTTTTTTTGTGCTTGTAGTTGTTGTTGTTTTATCTTGTTGTTGTTGTTGTTACTGCTTGTTGTTGTTGTTGTTGTTACTGCCTGTTGTTGTTGTTGTTGATGTTACTGTTAATCTAGATGAAAATTTATACTATTTTTTTTAACAAGTAATTAATGGAAAAATTATATACTATTCTGAATTGTCAATTGTAAAACTGTTGTTCCCTAAAATCCACCTCGACCTTTATTGGAGAGGCTTGCAAGGGACCTACGTCGCAGACTATTATGCACCAATTTTATTTCTTCGATTGTTCTCTTAAATAATTCATTTTAACTTTTATGTATCTTTGTAATTTTTCGTATATGGATCTTGTGTAGGAGAGACTTGCAAGGAACCTCCATCGCAGACTGGTATGCATCATTGTTTTTGCTTCGATTGACGAACCATTGTTATTACTTCGATTGTTCACATAAATAATTTGTTTTAACTTTTATATAACCTTGTAATTTTTCATATATGGATCATATATTGGAGAGGCTTGCTAGGAACCTACGTCGCAGACTGGTATGCACCATTGTTAATACTTCGATTGATGCACCATTATTGTTATTTCGATTGTTATCTTAAATAATTCATTTTAACCTTGATGTAATATTGTAATTTTTCATGTATGGATCTTGTATTAGAGAGGCTTGTCAGACACCTACGTCGCAGACTGGTATATACTATTGAAAAGGTCAGGCTTAGTCTAATCTTTAATATGATTTTTAAAAGACAAATCTTATATATTTGTTGTTTTTGTTGTTGTTGCTTGTTGTTATTGTGCTTGTTATTGTTGCATTTTGTTATTGTTGTTGTTGTTGTTGTAGTTGTTATGCTTGTTGTTGTTGTTATTTGTTGTTGTGCTTGTTGTCTATTTTTGTGCTTGTTGTTGATGTTATTGTTGTTCTGTTTGTTGTTTTTATTGCTTGTTGCTAATGTGGTTGCTTGTTGTTGTTGTTGTTGTTAATATTGTTGTTAATCCAGACGAAAATTTATACTATTTTTTAACAAGTAATTAATGAAATTATTATATACTATTCTGAAATGCCAATTGTAAAGGCTTGCAAGGGACCTACGTCGCAGACTATTATGCACCAACTTTATTTCTTCGATTGTTCACTTAAATAATTCGTTTTAACTTTCATGTAACCTTGTATTTTTCATATATGGATCTTGTATTGAAGAGGCTTGCTAGGGACCTACGTCGCAGACTGGTATGCACCATTGCTAATACTTTGATTGATGCATCATTGTTAATACTTTGATTGATGCACTATTGTTATTATTTTGATTGTTCTCTTAAATAGTTCGTTTTAACCTTGATGTAATAATGTCATTTTTCATGTATGGACATTGTATTGGAGAGGCTTGTCAGAGACCTACGTCCCAGACTGGTATGTACTATTGAAAAGGTCAGGCTTAGTCTAATCTTTAATATGAATTTTAAAAGACAAATCTTGTATATTTTTTGTTTTTCTTGTTGTTCTTGTGCTTGTTATTGTTTCGTTTTATTGTTGTTGTTGTTGCTATGCTTGTTGTTGTTGTTGTTGTTATTTGTTGTTGTGCTTGTTATCTATTTTTGTGCTTGTTGTTGTTATGCTTGTTGTTGATGTTATTGTTGTTCTGTTTGTGGTTGTTATTGCTTGTTGTTGTTGTCATTGCTTGTTGTTGTTGTTAATCCAGAGGAAAATTTATACTATTTTTTTTAACAAGTAATTAATTAAAAACTTATATACCATGCTAATATCCCAATAGTAAAACTGTTGTTACCTAAAATTCACCTCGACCTTTATTGGAGAGGCTTACAGGCGACCTACGTCGTAGACTATTATGCACGAAGTATATTTCTTCGGTTGTTCTCTTAAATATTTCGTTTTAACTTTTATATATCTTTGTAACTTTTCATATATGGATCTTGTGTTGGAGAGGCTTGCAAGGGACCTCCGTAGCAGACTGGTATGTACCATTGTTTTTACTTCGATTGATGAACTATTGTTATTACTTCGATTGTTCACTTAAATAATTCGTTTTAACTTTTATGTAACCTTGTAATTTTTCATAT